CTTGGCTATGATCTTATTCCCATGTATCGAATTTTATTTGGTATAAGTTGTATCACTGTTCCGCTTGGAGCTTTACTCTGCATCGTTTACCTCATTACTTTTATTTTTCGAGCGAAAAAAGTATTCAATGTTAAGAGTCACGCACTTTTATTAAGTTGCTTAGCTCAAATACTGCTTGGTATTCTTCAAGGACCAATCAGAATGTATTACTATTATAATCATGGATGTTTACCTCTGCCTGGTGCGCCATTATGTGTACTCACCGTCTATCTTGATTACATTCCAACACAAATCAATAATTTTCTTGTCGCGCAACTTTCAATTGAACGTTTTTTGCTTGTCGTAAAACCGTTTATTTTTCATCGAGCTCGTGGTCAAAAATATTCATATGCCATCATTTTTCATTATATTGGTCTTTGCGTGGCCATTACGTTTCCTTGCATTTACTATCCAACGATCATGCAGAATGGAGCATCAACAATTGATCTCGACGATCCTTCACAAACACCGACTTGTGATCTTTGGTATGCACGTGATATTTATGAGACATTTGATTTACTTATTACATTTACGCCTTATTTTCTCGTTTTATTCACTCATCTACTTCTCATTACCGTTCTTTTATATCGAAAATTTGTCATAGCTGATCGACAAAGGAGACAACCTGGTTCGCGAAAATATCGACGTCTTCTCTTTTCTCTTAATCTGTTTCTCATCTGGTTTCTTTTGACATGGTCACCTTGGGTTCTCTATGACTTTTTTCAATCTGTTTTAAACTTTACCTATTCTGTTTACATTGACGCTATCACAACGTTCATTGTTTACTTGAACTACACTTTTAGTTCTGCTATTGTTTTGATCACTTTCCAAGACATGTATCAATTTTGCCTTGATAACTTTTTCTCTCGATGGAGAGTTTGCTTACGTCCACGTCGTGTTGTACCGGCCTTTACCGTTACTCATGGTCAAACAATTGGTCTTACTCGAAGAGTGGGTACTATTCAAACAGTTGATCCAAATCTCACTGTTCAATATGTAGCAAGAAATCCTCGTCTTACTGCTGTTTGACAGTACGGAAACAAAGAATTTATTATAAAAATTAAATTTCTTCAGTATTTTTCTTCAATATTTTCAAAAATAAACGTTCAGTTCATAAATTATTTCATATTGAGTTCGAATCCTGAAAAAACATTATAGATTGAGTTTACTGCATTACTTCGATCTGAATACGATTTACGTGTACATTCAAAATAGAGATATCATCATACAAACAAACAGTAAAATCAAAATATCTATTTTCAGTAGCTACTTAAATCTCGTAAGTAAATGAAAACCATTTTGCAGGTGTGAATATAATTCCAGCCTATACTCATATTATTCAGAATGGATGCCAAAGAAATGGTAATCTTGAATAAAAAAAAGGATTCATTTATTCCAATAATTCTTAGGGCTTGAACTATGTGTATTTGATTGTTTTTTATCTGCTAGGTGTAAGTGTAAAATTAAAGATGAAGTTGATATTCATCTAACGACATTTACACCCTCAAGATGGAACTGTCTTAGCAAACTTTCTCAAGTCAATGTTCAAACTCTTTCCTAAACTGAGTATGCAGGGTTCAAGCACGTTTCCATATTAATTCTACTATGGATTTCGATGGGAATGTAGGATATTGTTTCCTTATGTTTTTAGCAAGTATCTCAAAAGGATCTGACCAACATTTATAAATCTACAGATCAAAACACGTTTTCAATGTTAGTTTTGAACACAATCGTAACTATTAATAAATGAAAAAATCTACTAGCATCATGTATAAATCAATAAAGAGATTCATACAAATTCCAAGACGATTATTTTTTCGATATTTTTTCAATATATGTTGAAAATACGCTATCACTTCGAACACCAAACTAATTATCTGTTCAACTTTATGCTGAACAAAATCTGAATTTTAAAATATTTATCCGTTTAAAAAAATTGTTAAAAAAATATTTTTATATAGTCGAATTTTGGGCATGGATGTGGTTTTAGATATAAATATCATATTCATCATAAAACTATAAGCCATATTCGCTCACTCATCTATTTACACTCACACCCATCCTACTGAGTGAAAGTAACCATGTGAGTGCAAGATGGTCAACTTTTTTGCTTACCAATACAAATCCTTTCATTTTGAGTCATAAAATATGAATTAAAACCAACATTTGATTAAAAAACGCACGACTATAAATTTCAGTATATGAGGTACAATATAATAGTTTTATTACGACAAGATCTTTGATTTAGTTTTTTATATAAATTATTAAAATGAAATCAAGCCTGTGAAGATTATCAATTTATTTGAAATGAAAGTGGATGAACAGAAAAAGAAAGTCGAATAAATAAGCATACAATACTCAAAGCATATAAAGATGACTCAAGACTATGTGTATAATATAAGAGAATAAATGAAAGCAGAAAATGTATCATGGTTGAAGGTCATGACAGAGCCAAAGGTCAGTATCCAAATAGCTTTAGTTCAGAATACTGAACACTGTTCTCGACGCCACGCTTGCTTGAAACAAGAAACCGATAACTTTTATACTGAATCGAATTGTTCGTCAGTTGCATAATTCTACAGGTGAGTCTACCAGGATTTGTTTGAAGACCACTAGGTCCATTGTAAATCAAAGTCCAGCTCGAGCCGAGAGTGAGATTCGATCCAGACTGATTACTTCCTTCCAATGACATTGTAAGTGGATCACGCTCTGGACGATCATTGGCTGTGCAGATTTGTAATCCTGTAACTAATGATGCACCTCGCTTCAACTCCAGGTAGAAACCAGTGTCCGAACCGCATTCAACTGCATGTTTATCATCTGAACACCTTCCATAGCTTAAATACTTTGTGGAAGTATCGCCATCGCATGCATTGGCTGGCGAATGTTCTGGACGATAATGACCGGCTAATAAGCCAGGTTCTGATGCTTGACTATCTTGATTTATCATTGTATTGTATACACCATGGACAACTATATCAATACTATCAAGTGAGATGGGAGCTGCAAAGTAAATGCAAACATAAAAAAATAGAAGAAAACTCACAAAATTCTCTTATTTGTTAAGTTCGCTCTACTGAACAAACACGTAAAAAATAGTTTATTCGAATACAATCAAAGATGTTCTTGAGAACAAATTTTTTTGGACGAATACTTCCCATACTTATCATATCTCTAGCTCAAAATAGTTCAGGAATTAAATGCTAATATACTAAAGTACTACATTATGTTAAACTGATTGATGATTTCTATCTGTAGATGTAGGTGTAGATATGTGGAGGTTGGTGCTTTTTCTTTATTCTCAGTTGAACATGTCCAGCCACCGCATAAAACTTAATGATTATGAGAAATCTGAAATACCGAATGGCTGACAGACAGCTCCCTATCAAGCTGATAAAACTCGCTTGTTGATACTGTAAAATATGTATGTATGTAGAGATACGTGAGTGTTTATTCA